AAACAAGTGCATTTTATATACTAATGTTTTTGTATTTTGTTTGTTTGTTTTTGTTTTTGAGACGGAGTCTCACTCTCTTGCCAGGCTGGAGTGCAGTGACGCAATCTTGGCTCACTGCAACATCCGCCTCCCTGGTTCAAGCAATTCTCCTGCCTCAGCCTCCCAAGTAGCTGTGATTACAGGCATGCACCACCACGCCCAGCTAGTTTTTGTAGTTTTAGTAGAGACGGGGTTTCACCATGTTGGCCAGGATGGCCTCGATCTCCTGAGCTTGTGACCCACCTGCCTCAGCCTCCCAAAGTGCTGGGATTGCATGCTTGATACACTGCGCCCGGTCTGTATATTAATGTGTTTCATCAAATACATACTAATGTCTTTATATACTAATGTAGTATATACTACATTATACCACTATACTACTCAGTATATACTACTGAGTGTCAACTGGATTGGATTGAATGATGCAAAGTATTAATCCTGGGTGTGTCTGTGATGGTGTTGCCAAAGGAGATTAACATTTGAGTCAGTGGGCTCGGAAAGGCAGACCCACCCTTAATCTAGGGGTACCATCTAATCAACTGCCAGGGCAGGTAGAATATAAAGCAGGCAGAAAAACGTGAAAAGACTAGACTGGCTGAGCATCCCAGGCTACATCTTTCTCCCATCTGGACCTTTTCTGCCCTCGAACATCGGACTCCAAGTTCTTCAGTTTTGGGACTTGGACTGGCTCTCTATGCTCAGCTTGCAGACAGCCTATTGTGGGACCTTGTGATCACGTGAGCTGGTACTTAATAAACTCCCCTTTTTATCTCTCCTATTAGCTCTGTCCCTCTAGAGAACCCTGACTGATACAGATGGGGTTTCACCATGTTGGCCAGGCTGAGCTTCTGGCTCTGGGTGGAGATGCATTTAATGGGCTTCCACTGGTTCTGCTTAGAGGAGAAGAGGCTCAAGGCCTTAGATATGAGATAGGCCAAGTTAGGTGGCTATATTTCTTTAAATACACTTTGTTTTGTAGATTTAACTTTGGATCCACATATGTATGTAATTATAAAAAAATTAAAATATTAAAAAAGCAGTATCTATACAAACTATTTCCGTCATAAACTTGCCTAAGTCTAACATTTATATGGAAGAGGTGAGATTTGGGTTCAGATAATCTAACTACAATCTTGACCATTATGCTAAACTATGTAACATTAAGAGGCATAACAGGTAAAGCACCTAACAAATCAGTAAACATTAGCTCCCTTCCACCAATGCCTTACTTGGGGAGACAACACACATTAACAAATGGTTTGCTACCTTCCTTCTAGGCCCATACTAAGGGTTCACTATGTTTAATAGTGGAAACTGAACAAATCAAGGCTATGATTTTAAACTTTCGACCAACAAGGTCACTTTTTGAGTAATAATGGGGAAAAATGTGCCTACTGGAATAGGGTAATAAGTTAGTCTTACATTTTCCTTACAAAAACAAAGATTTGCTAAACAGACCTATTTTTGTATACCCCTTGGGTACTTGAATAAAAGTGCTCATCAAAATGGAAATACCTCTACTTCTTCTGTTTTCTGTTCAGATCACTATGTATCCACTAACATCAGAGTCCCACATCTTATTTGTCAACAACTCCTGACAACTTTGCTTTGCTTAAACCGTATCTTGAATCCAACTACCATTCTATATTCCCACTACGACTGTTTCAGTTTGTGCTTACATTTCCTATTTGGACTATCAAATGGTCAAACTAGTCTTTTTTTTTTTTTTCTGCCTCCATTTAAATCTTTTTCTATATTTATTTTCTATTATGTTCTTGGACTTTTACTAAAAATAAATTGAATGATGGCACTATTTTGCTAATATCAATTAACAGTTGCTTCCCATCACTTACAGGGATGATTTTTCAAAATACATTCCTAGAAGACTCAAGACTCAATAGAATACCTGTCTCTAAGGGAGGGAAGGCAGAAGCTAGATGGATAAGGTTCCCTTGTCATCCCTGTTCAACCTTCAATCACAATTGCTTAGTTTGTTAATGTCTGTGTTTTTGTTTGTAAAAGGATTTCCCAAATTTGAGCTCTTCGCAATGTTGCTTGTAATTTATTCAGATTTAATTTACTATTGATTGCTATTCACAAGTCCTAAACTTCCAGTCATTTCTAAGTCTTCAGTTTGCTGAATTAGAAATGTCGTTTCATGCCTTTATGTTTTGAGGAGGCATTTCTTCTACTTGTAGTGCTATTCTCTATTTGGCTCAGGAAACTTCTTAAACAACCTCTTCTTGGAGACGACAAAAATCTCTAATGTTCCTAGGCAGTTTCATTTCCCTCTCTCTGTTCCTATAGCACTTTGTACACAATGTCATTATAACCTCTATTTTTTTCATCTAATTTTTTCATCATTTATGAGCACCTGTGACTTTGGATGAGTAACTTAACCTCTTTGGTTTCATCGTCTTTAAAATGGCAGTAACTGTAATATCTAGCTCAGAGATGTTGGGAGGGTTTAACATGGTAATACATGAAAGGGCTTGGAAGAGTGCCTAGCACATTAGGTTGATTCAAATTTCAGATAAAACAATTACTAGTAACACCACCACTACCACTTCTCATCTACGTGGGTGTTTTAAACTGTGAGTTTTAAGGGCTTGGTTTTGTATCCCTAGCACACAGCTCATGTTGGAAGGAATTGATCTACATTCTCTAATATGCTGTGTGAATATGATCACTCATTTGATATCCTCAGCTTGAAAATACTTGTTCCTGATATGGTTTGGATTTGTGTTCCTACCCAAATCTCATCTCAAATTGTAATCTCCAGTGTTGGAGGGTGGGCCTGGTGGGAGGTGATTGAATCATGGGGGCAGATGTCCCCCTTTCCTTTCTTGTAATAGTGAGTTCTCCTGAAACTTGGTTTTAAAGTGTGTAGCACCAGGCCCTTCTGTTCTGTTCCAGCCACGTGAAGATGTGTCTGCGTCCCCTTCGCCTTCCACCTGATTGGAAGTTTCCTGAGGCCTCCCTAGCCATGCTACCAGACTGCAGAACCAAGAACCAATTAACCCTCTTTTCTTTATAAATGATCCAGTCTCAGGTATTTCTTTATAGCAGTACGAGAAGGGACTAATGCAGTTCCCTAGTGCCTTCAGCTTCTTTTTGCAAGACATATTATTTAATATTTAATATGAATATTCTGCTTAGAGTATGTTTTTTGCAGAAAATTCAAACAAGTTTATTGATTTATGTAGATTTATGTAGTAATTTATGTTAACTTATAAACAAGCTTATGTAATTTAATTTCTTTTTATCTATGTTTCAATAGACTCTTTTTTTTTTTTTTTTTTAAGACAGAGTCTCACGCTGTCACCCAGGCTGGAGTGCGGTGGTGCCATCTTGGCTCGCTGCAACCTACGCCTCCGAGGTTCAAGTGATTCTCCTGCCTCACCTTCCAAGTATCTGGGATTACGGGCATGAGCCACCATGCCTAGCTAATTTTTTTTTTTGTATTTTTAGTACAGACAGGGTTTCACCATGTTGGCCGGGCTGGTCTCACTCCCAACTTCAGGTGATCCACCCGCCTCAGCCTCCCGAAGCGCTGGGACTACAGGCATGAGCAGCAGCTTCAATAGACTAATTGGAAGAGATGCCCATTGTGAATGTCAACTTAGCTGGCCCACAGTGCCCAGATACGTGGTTGAACATTATTCTGAACGTTTCTGTGCAGATGTTTTCGGATGAGATCAGCATTTAAATCAGTGACTTAAAGCAGATTGCCTTCTCTAATGTGAATGGGTTTCATCCAAAGAATTGAAGTCCTAGATGGAAAGACTCAACTCCCCCAGCAAAGGGAAATTCTGATGCAGACAGCCTTTGAACTTGAACTGCAGTGATCTCCCTGGGTCTCTAGTGTGATGGCTTTCGGACTGGAACTCAACATCAGCTCTTCCCTTCCCTGGTCTCCAGTCTGCTGGCCCACCCTACAAGTTTGGACTTGCCCCCACAACCATGTGAACCAATTCTTGAAAATAAATTTTTCTCTATACACACAAACACACCCTACTGATTCTATTTCTCTGGAAAGCCCGAATTCTCCTACCTATAGAATATATGAAATTAAGTTGTAAAACTATAATCATTTAAATGAAAGAGTATTTGGAAAGTTTACAATTAAATATATCTATCTATCTGCATATATATATATATATACACATATATATATATATGTAGATGCTCCTTGACCTACAACGGGGTTATATAATTCGATATACCCATCATAAGTTGAAAATATTAAGCCAAAAATGCATTTAATACACCTAACCTAATGAACATTATAGCTTAGCCTAGCCTGCCTTAAACGTGCTCAGAACACTTACATTGGTTTACTACTGGGCAAAATCATCTAACGCAAAGTCTATTTTATCATAAAGTGTTGAATATCTTATGTGATTTATTGAGTACGGTACTGAAAGTGAGAAACAGAATGGTCATATGGGTACCTGAAGTAGTTTCTACTGAATGCATACTGTTTTTGTATCACTGAAAAGTTGAAAAATCATTAAGTCAAACCATTATTGTGTCAGGGACCATCTGTATATGTACACATAATTAACCATAAAATTATACATAAAACTATACATAAGAGAATTAAGAATTCCTGACACTTATTTTTTCTCCTTATTTTCCCCGCTTTTTTTTTTTGAGACAGGGTCTTGCTGTGTTGCCCAGGCTGGAGTGCAGCAGTGTGATCACAGCTCAACTACAGCCTCGGCCTCCTTACTGGGCTCAGAGGATCCTACCACCTCAGCCTCCGGAGTAGCTGGGACAACAGGTGTGCACCATCATGCCCAGCTAATTCTTTGTATTTTTTTTATAGATACGGGATTTTGCCACGTAGCCCAGGCTAGTCTCGAATTCCTGCGCTCAAGCGATCCACCCGCCTCAGCCTCCCAAAGTGCTTTTTATTCCCTTTTGATAACATCCTGTTACCTATACAGAGTAAGAAATTTAAGGATAAATCATTGCAGTTTTATTTAAAATTTTAGACACAATTTAAATCATGTATATAAATACAAAGATGAACATCGGTTCTTTAAACACTGACAAAATCCTGAAACAATATAATGTATATTTTTTAGCCACGTTTCCTATTTTTACAACATAGTTTACAACTTTCCTATTTTTACAACAGTTTAAGGCTAAGTTTATAAAAAAAAGTACATAGGAAAATATAATGATTTGAGTGTTCTCAAATACATGGCTCTGAAGGTAGATTACTTAAGTGTTTTTATTATTTAATCCATATACAATGCAGCAAATAGATACATTAATTATAACATTTGCCTTCAGTTAACAGTTTATTCACTGCCACAGAAGCTCCATGAAGGGTCATCACTTAAGAAGCTCTTCAGGTTAGAGTCAAGCAAATTCTGAACACTTGGTCAAAGGAACATGAAAATGCCAGGTCCTGGCACAATGAATAAATAACCCAGAAGGTGATATATGTCAGATAAAGACAATCTTAAGCACCACAGTAACTTTTGAGGCAAGTGGTACCATACTCTTATTAAAGAAAAGTCTTTATTGTTGAGGGCACTGGGTCTCTGGAGTAGATTTAGAGGACACATATAGAATAGGGTGTGATTTCTTACAAGTTTCTTTTTCCAATTTGCTTGCAGTTTCTTTTCCTTCTTTAACTTCTGTTTGAAGCTTTGATTCAGCAGCTAACCTACAGGCATTAAAGTATCCACTCTGAATTCAAATGTGGTTATGAAGGATGGAAGAAACAAACCCCCAGTATAATGGGCCTCCAATGAGGCATGGTATTCAAGGAAAAAAAATATAGTTGATTCTAATACTGTTAAGAATATTAAGTCACTGGCTCTCTAAAAGAGTCTTTTTGTATCAATAGGTTCAATTATTATTATTTTTTGAGACAGAGTCTCACTCTGTCGCCAGGCTGGAGTGCAGTGGCATAATCTCGGCTCACTGCAACCTCCACCTCCCGGGTTCAAGCGATTCTCCTGCCTCAGCCTCCCAAGTAGCTGGGACTACAGGTGTGCACTCCCACATACAGCTAATTTTTGTATTTTTAGTAGAGACAGGGTTTTACCACGTCGGTCAGGATGGTCTCGATCTCTTGACCTCGTGATCCACCTGCCTCAGCCTCCCAAAGTGCTGGGATTACAGGCGAGCCACTGCGCTGGGCCGATTATTATTTAAGTCTAAAGAGTATCTTTAAAAAGTCATGGCAAGGCCTAAATTAAAGAATTAACATATGACAGGGCCCCTATCAAGATAAGCACACCTAACACAAAAACTGAAATGTTACAGCAATATTTTAACGTTAACATGACATACAAAAGGCAAGACAAAAATAACATGGAATCTTGAGCTGCATGAATAGATGTCTATTTGTTTCTTATTAAAAAAGTGAGTTTCAACTAGTAGAATAATAAAGAAAAGATAAATAGTAGAGAGATATTCTTAAAGGCATGTAAAGATTCTTAGCAACAAGAACACTCATTAGTTTTGTAAAGCATACAACAGTAAAGTTCCCAATAAAAGCCGTATTTATTGTACCAAAATTATCTTAGGATTGTGTATCTAAGTTAAACATGCAGAAAACAAAGAGTTGGAAACATCTTGAAGTTAGCAGATGGACTCACACACACACACACAAATGTTTTGTGGTATTTTATTTTTTGTTTAACTAACAAGACAAAAAGTTTCCAACGTGCTACTTGAGTCAATTAGCCACATACATTTGCTTAAGTGATTTTTATCAAGCAAAAAAAGGCAGAAAAAGGAATGAAGACAATACAGATAGCAAGGCTGGCACTTATCAATTCTGGAAATTCACCTCCAGAAATATACAGTGGTCAAGGATGTTTATACAATGCATCACATACATATACACAGGCATAATCTGCTGGATTCATTTCAGAACTCTTTGAAACCATGTGTATGTGGTAGATACTCATTTGAAGTTACTTTTTCCTTAAGAATAGTAAGCTTTTATTTTATGTGACTCAGAGGTTATAACATTATATAAAACTCCAAGGAGGGAGTAATAAATTACTATCCCTTATAATAATAGCAGCTAACATTGTTAAAGTGCTTTTACTGTTGAGTATTACATTTAGTAGCACTGAAGACTTGGAAAGAAATCAGATAAAACATATAAGGAAGCCCTTTTACACTGGGCTGTGTCTTACTCTCTCTACTCAAATGCACATTAGTAAAATGTCTTATTAATCTGTCTCTACTCTCTAAGACTAATGTAGCCCTAGTAGCACCTTCAAGATTGCATTTCATATGAGATAATCCAGGCTAGCTATTGGCACATCTTTTTGAATGTCTAGATACTTGTTTTAAATGCCTCTAACAATTCCATTGCATGCATCCTCCATCTTTCACTTTCTCCAATTTCCTCATTTGCTTCTTCTGCTGTGCACATGCAGAACTCGAGCCTCAGCCACTCCTACTTACCTTTCCCTTCCATTCACTTTCTCTTACCTTCTGACCTCGATTATTTTTAAAGGACAAAGCCCTTGGGACATTAATTCCTTCAGACACACATATCTGACACTATTTCTTTCAGTCAAAAACTCAATTATGCAGAAACTAGAGGCCTTCAAGTTTTGGAAACAATGAAAAGCTTTGATATGTAAAAATGTCAAAATAAGTATTCAAGCCCATTTTTGAAAGCCTAGGATAAACAACTTCAAAAGACATAAAAAATTCACCTAAGTTTTCCAGAAGGCTGAAATGTCTCAGACTACCAGAAAGCCCTTTGAGAAAGTAAGTTGATTTTTCTTTCATGGCCATGCTTGAACCAGGAGAAAAATAACAGAACATTTATTCAAACTGATAAAACATTCAGAGATGTGTTAAGACTGATATTTCCTTTCATGAAACAGAAACATGTAACTTTTTAATGTGATTCCCTTATTCAGGAGTCCTTTCCCTTTGCAATCAGTTTAGTCTTTCTTAAAGTTCTGGAAAAGTTGAAGGTAGGTAGATGAAATTGAGGAATTATACTGCATGCAATAGTAAGAAAGTAGATAAAGAAACAGACAGCACAGTTCATGCAGCGAGAGAGGAGAGATGGAGAGGTCTGCTGGCTGCCTGGAGGAAAAGAGGACACTGACCTGGGAGAGTTAAGGGTGTTTCCACTTCTTTCACTTAAGGCCTCAGCGTCAGCTGGAACTCCTACGAGTTTCACACATTTCTTTTCCTTCTTCAGCTGCATATCCACGGGCAGATTTTTGTGAGGAGAGAGACTGACTATTGGTGTGTGTATAGAAACTGATTTTTCTAATTGCAAGTTGTTATCTTCTAAACTGTTAGGACAGGACTGTGTCTCCTCTTTCTGAGGTGGTAATCGATAAACTCCTCCCCCGACAGCACTGTTGTTGACACATGTATCTTTAGAGGTGGTAATATCCACAGGCAGCACCTCACGCCTCTTTTTCAGTACAGGCACTTCAACTGTCTCTGAGAATAAAAATGAGTGGGGACAAGAAAAAAATCTAAGAAAACAAAGACACAATCAACACAAGAAGCCAGAACTAGTTATACGTATACCTTTTTCACTTCTCTTAAAATCAAACCATCTCCTCACTGAAATGCATCGTTTGTTTCTACCTTTTATTCTTTATCATGGAATCTATATAAACTCTATATTTTAAAGTTTATTTGGCTATATATTTTTCCTTGGGAATTCAACATTTTGACTCTAGGCATGAAGGCTTCAGTATTCTCTCCTGGTGTTTTGATAAAGGTGGTTCATAAGATCTCAGGGTGGAGATGAAGAGGCAGTGGCAGAGTCCAGGTTCAAATTCTAATACTCGTATTTGACAGCCACGTCTTTTTAACCTCTCTGAGCTTCATTTTATCTGTAAAATGGGGATTAAAAGCACCCACTTCACTTGGTATTGTGTGTTAGAAGGATGAAATGGTAAGAATAGGCCAAACTTTCTGAATATTGGTAATATATGCCTGCTAGCTCTACCTACAAAATATAAGCAGAATTGGACTACTTTTATGATGGATACTTCCCTAATCCAATCCTATCATGTCTCATCAAAGACTAGTGCAATGCCTTCTATCCTCATGGCCTAATATCATTCTATCTAAGCAGGTCATACACACAGCCACTGAATTAACTGCTCTGATAGCTTTTCCCTATGCCCATTACCAATGTGTTTCATTTTCAAAATCAAAATGTTCGTGGAGTCTGAGGAACCCTGGTAGCACAAGGGGTTGCTGGTTTTGCTCTACATTGTTGCTTTTAGACCACGATTTCCCCTTTTCTGCCACTGCTCCTTTGAAACCCACACTACCCTGCCTCTTATCTATTTGCAGTATTCAGTTCAACAGATGTTTGAAATTCATAATGGATAATTCTTAATCAGGGGAGCCTATCGGAATCATGGAAGAAAAACAAAGAGTAAGAGCAAGAGAAGCCTTTTAAAATTGTGTAAAAACCTTCCAATTTTTGGCAACCTCCCCACTATCGCTGAGAATCATAGCAGTTCACTGAGACAATATGAGAGACTGAGGCATGTGCAGAGTGCAGGGACAAAAACTTGTTGAGAATCCTTAACCTAAAACACGTAACACTCTTTCAGGGAAGGGGTGTTGTAGAACCATCACATTCTTACACTCCTTCACACTTGGCCTTTTGTTTTTGAATTTATGTACAGTAAACTTCACTCTCTGTAGTATATAAGATGCAGAGACTGTATGGTTAGGCTACTTTCTAGCTCAGTCATTAGACTTGCTAGATGTTTCCTAATATGTTTCACTGTTCTTTCCTTTTTCCCCCTACTTTTGGGAGAGAATGTGGTCTTGTTATACTGCTCAAGCAAATCTCAAATTCCTGGGCACAGTTATCCTCCCGCCTCTGCCTCCCCAAGAGCTGGGATTACAGGCACGAGCCACCACACCTGGCTCACTGTTCTTCTTTAATAAAATAATTACCAATATTTAGTGAGGAACATGGCCCCTGAGAATCAAGACTGCATTTCTCAGCCTTTCCTGTCGGCAGGTGAGGCTGCATGACTAAATTCTGCTCAACGGGATGGCAGCAGACCAACAAACACAAGAAACCTGAAATCTGGATACCATGGAGTGCTTTCCCAGTCCTGGAAGGCCTCCTCCAGACTTCCATCAGAGGCAGAGATAAAGACCCACCTTCTTAAAGTCTCCATTACTTTAGATTTTCTAAAAACAGTCCTACCTTGTATAGCTTCCAAACATCAGCTGCTTCAACATAATTAAACTATGAGGTATGACATAAAATACTGTAATCTTAAAATGGGAAAGTCTCAAATCTCAAGTTTCTACTATACAGTATGATGAATTTTGATATCCAAAAAGGATACATGTTATATTCATGCACACCCAGTATCCAGTTCTCTCTGAATTTTCCTACACATTTTACATAATAAATTTGCTTTATTAACTATAGGTATATAACTACAAATGAGTTTGTAAATAGGATTTGCATAAAACTACAGTAAAAAAAAATTTGGTATAATTTCTCAGGATTACTCATGATTTAAAAGACAAAAATATGTGAGACATATATACCTTCAGGTTCATATTTTAGTTTTAATTCATCTAGTTTAGCTCTCAGTTTCATATTTTCACTTTCTGAAAGCTGGAGGCATCTTTCATTCGCAAAAAGTTTTCGCTCAATATCCAGAGCCCGTTGGCTCTCAAATAATGCTTTCATTCGCTGTATGGACAATTCACCTTTAGTGCTTTCAATTTCTTTGCTATGATAATAAAAAAAGGATAACCAACGAGTATTAAAACAGCATATAATAAGTGTAGGGGTATAAATATTTCACTGCATATTTGAACTCTTAGTTAAAAATACATTTTTCTGGGGTTTTTAGTAACAAAGAAAAAATAAACAATTTAATCCTTAACAATAGTAGTGTTAAATTTTAAAAATACTCATGCAATCTTGAAAGGAAACAGACAAGGAGGAAATACTCTTTCAAATGTATTCATGCATAAATATCTGCACAAAGATATTTTTGTTACCTTTCTTTTTGGAAAATTTCCTTTGGCAATTTCAAAAAAACCTTGTAGTCACTGACACCACTATTATAAGCAAGTGACAGGTCCATCTTCCCATCTACCAACCCAGACACTTACTTTAAGTTATCTAGCTTCATCTGAAGTAAATCTGTATAATAGGTGTTATCTTCCAGAGCACCAGAGTCGACTGAAGGCTTAGATTCCATACTTTCATATAAATTCTTAAAAAAGCAAAAAAAATTGTATTACTTAAACAACAAATAAAGTTCGTTATGTTTATTAGTAACGGCACCATCACTTCCTTGGCGTGTACCACACTAAGAACTACCCATTTAACTTATTTGCCTTCTGAAGTAGGTAAAATAATTACCATTCCTCTCTTACAGATAAGGAAACAGGCTCCAAATGCAGAGGAAAGTAAACCAAGAAGAGATGATCTGAACCCAAATCTGACTCCAAGGCCTAGGCTTCTAGCCTTACCTATATGCTCTGGCTTCCTTCCCTCTCCTGGCTTTTAAAATAGAAAAATAAATGCCTGCTGGATTGAATTCTGGCCTTTGTAACAAAACCATAAACTGGAAAAATATGAAAGAAAGATGAGAGCCTTACATTTATATTTGGTGTCCCCCTCTTCTGAGGTTCTTCCCCCCACCCCAGGCAAGAATGTAGTGCAAACTCTTCTGAGACTGATGGAAACTATACATTTCTCTAGTGGGATAAAAAAGGTAAATGTGCTTAAAAACTTGAAACAATTTCAGAGGTTATAAATAAAATTCCCGATTTAAGGCCATAATTTTCAAAGTGCAGTTCTGAGCCCACTGATGGAACACATAAGGCTGCCAATTTAACCAAATTTGTAGTTCTTTCAACAGTTTTTATAAGACACAGAAATAAAATTTTGTAAACTTAATTAAGATTTTATGACATACTAATGGCTATAATTTAGAATGCCTAAGAGGTTATTAACATTTACAAAAATTTGTCATTTATAAACTTTAGTTCATTAGGGGGTTAATGAAGATATCGATGTTCCCTAAATTAATTTATAAAATCTTAAATTGCATGCAATTTTAATAGAAAGCCAACAAGCTTTTTTTGGTGCTAGGCAAGATGTTTGTAAATGAAAACTAACATTCAAAAATAGGCAGGAAAACACTGAAAATTAAAAAGTATAGTAAGGAAATAGTCCTACCAGATAAACATACTTTAAAGCCTTTATAATTAATAAAACAGTGTGGTACTGACACACACAGAAGCAGACCAATGGCATACACAGAAAATTTAGAAACAGACTCAAGTATACATGGAAACCTGATGTATTGATAAAGGTGTCAACTCAAATCACTGGGCTCAAGATCGATTTTTTAACAAATGACTCTGGGACAAGTGCCTACTTATTTATAGGAAGATAAAATTAGATTTATACCTCAAATTATACACAAAAATAAACTTCAGTGGTGATCAGATATTTAAATGTAAAAAATGAAACCACACACGTATTAGAAAACATGGGTGAATTCTTATACACACACACACACACAAATGCTTACACAAATACCATTATCCACTAAAATAAACCAATGTTCCTTGAAGAAATGCTAATCCCAGGGCTGGGGCAGGTGAGCTAGGAAAACCTTGTTGTGCCATAGAGTAAGGAAGTATTCAAGTAAGAGCACTTCGACTACCAAATCTAGGACAATTTGAGTATCAGAGTAAACAAAGCAAGCAATGGATTATAACTCATAGAATAAAGAATCCATAGCGCTATACTGATATAAATAAATGAATGAATAAGTAAGGGAAAAGATTTTTCTTTGCTGTCCCTTTATTAGAATTCCAACTAATAAATATAGAAGTGATGGAATTACCCATTTAGCAATCATCACAGAATTGTATTTCAGGCAAGAATCACCAATGGATGTTTAAGTATAAGGAGAAACAGGCATTTACTTAGTCTCAAAGTATCTCCCACAAGATACTTATTAATATTTTAAACTTAAAATACAAACCAAATTTTAAGGTATTCAAATCAAAATTTGGATGTGTGTTTTTTTAAGTGTTACACATACCTTAAATTTCTCCAGATTTCTAATTTCACCTAAAAGATGTTTTATTTCACCATTCTTCTGTTCCAACATGGCAAGCAACCGTTCCTGCTGCTCAAATTCAGTTTGAGACCCTTTCATCTGTAGCAACGTGGCGATTTGTAACTAGAAAAATAAAAGTACCCCCTCTAATAAAATTAAGTGAGAGAAAGATTCTGATAACTACTTTTTTGATATAATTCATAGTTTATACTACATTACTTTGAACTCATTTTGGAAACAAAACTAATTAGCTATTTCTAATCTAATAATAAACTTTGTTGTAGACATAACATTTGAATACTTATTCTGACTACTTATGAATGATAACTGAAGTCTGTAACATAATTATTTGTACTTTTGTGAAACATAAAACTGACCTGCATGATTGTGGTCTGAAAGGACACCACTGAACTGGTAAGTAAGCCCGGCCAAATGCTGCAGACTGCTTATCATAAGCACTCGCTCTCATTAAGGTTCTGATGGGTTTCTCAAAAATTTTAATTAACTTCAATTAAGTGAGAAAAACTAAGCTACTGACAGCCACAAATGTTAGATTCACAAATGACATGAAAAGCAAAGATAAAAGGCTATCTTGGGATAGTGGGGCAATCTTCAATACACCATGTTTTAATTTTTTAAGAGGAGCACTCGACTTACCTAATTATACCTACCCGCCCCCCCCAAATCTGGAGTTGCAAAGCTATCAAAGGGAAATTAAGTAGACTCTACACCTAGCATTTCTTTCTGTTTTTGGAAATTTCTGGAGTTGAAAAGAGTGCCTATTAGTTTAAATATAGTTTTGAGTAAAGCAAGCAAAGATATGAGGTTGCAGATGACTTTTAACATTTTAAAGGATATCCTTTTTGTTCCTGTTTCAGATTGGAGGCTAGGCCCACTTAGCCTAAGATTCAGAATGCTTCTAGTCTCTAAAGATAGTTTGGGACATCATGCAACATTGGCAGATTAAAAGTATCCCTGACAAATACTGTAAGAAAACTAAAGTAAATATGAGAAAATTTATAAAGAAATACTTCCCAGACAGGAGAGTCTCAGGAAATGAGGCAGCACGATTTGCCTTAGAAATAAAATTCACAGCTGTTGTTCATTAAACACTCATTTGCCAAGTAGCAGGTAAGTATTTTACTACACTTACATTTAACTGTAGGACAATTCTAAGAGGGGGTTCTATCATCTCCACTTTATAGATGAGGTACTGATACTTTGAAAGTTAAAATATTTGTCCAAGGTCACAGAGCTAGAAAGTGACAAAACTATGATTCAAACCCAAATCTATCTAACTCCCAAGTTTAATCATTAACCCATTTCTTTGGCAAAGCCCATCATCTGAATAAAAGGAAGGAAGCCTTTCCACATTCCAATTACTACCTCAGTAGAGCAAGGCACAATGGATGAGGGATCAGTATTCTAAGGATGGTTAAAATACTGAAATCTTTCTAATTTCCACATTTTTCTGCTACCTCTTATTTGGCTAGAATGACAACCAACAAAATCCGTAAAATTAAAAAGGTCTGTGTGCTTGACTTGAGGGGCTACAAGGAAAGGGAACCCTGAATAATCCAAATTTCACTCCACAATAAGCCTTGGTGAAAGAGCGAGGAATGGTGAGGCAGCGAGTTTCAGCTGAAGTAGGAACACCAGGGCTATGCTTGGAAAGACATCAGGCCAAGAATAAGAAATAAATACTTTTCTTTCTTCTACTCCCTAAAGAAAGATTTAAGTCAAAGCTAGTGAGTAACCAATAAAACAAACAAAAAAATCATTGCTAAATATACTATTACTAAATATTTATTCCAAGATTTTTAAAGTATAAATGAATCTTTTGATTAATTTCAAAACTGATTTTTTGAAATCATGCAGTTCTAGAAATAACTATATGTACACTCCTTGTAGGAAAAGATCGTTTCTTTGATGTATTCAGACATGTAATGCTGACATAAAATTTGTTTAATAAACCTTTGATAGTGATAGTTCTATACCTTCATTCTCTGCATCTGTTCCCTGTTAAATACATTTTGCTTCTTTAGTGACTGATACTTGACTTTCATACTGATAAGCTGACGTTCCATTGCTGCCCTTCGATCTTCTACCTACAAAATATTAACATGCTTAATTGTTCTGGTAGTAAAGGAAAATGCCAATTTAGCAGTTAGAATACTTGTAAGTACCTCTGCAAACAAAGAGTTGCCTTTACTATTGGGGTCCAAAGCTTGCTGGAGTGCCTGGTCCAACTGTACCTGAAGATCTTGATTTGCTACACGAGCTTTCTAAATTCAAAAGAAAACAATTTAGGCAATAGACATTAGATTAGCAAAAAAAATAAGTTATGATAAATTGGAAAAGATGATGTTACTATAATCATAGTACCTCTAGGGCATTATAGTAAGAAACTGCTTCTTTCTCTCGCTCCTCTTTTTCCTCTTTAAGCCGGTCTACCTGGCGCATTAGGTTAGTAATAAGAAGTTCTAGCTGTTCTTGTCTGTATTGTAGTTCATTCACTTCTTCTTTGAGGGTGGTCTATTTAATAGGAATTGAAAAGGAGGAAATTCTCTTGAATAATCTTTCATTTGGCAGCTGCTCAGTTTATCTCAGTTGTGGTTCACATCCAAAATTAAAACTAAAGAACCAGTCAAAAGTTGTCAGGTACATACTAAAATAACAGAAATTACTATTACTGTTAAATTTTTCACCAAGGAAACAAATGATTTTAGAGACTGCCCTTTTTCCTCTATGAATTGCAGGCTTTAATTTTTAATTAAACTTAGCTTTCAACAAAAAAACTAAGTTCACATGCATTTCAGCTTCCACTGAGCCAACTTTTTACACTGGGCTCTTAACGATAAAAACCGGGATCAGAGTATATGCCTCTAAATTCTTCCAGAGGTTTCATTAATTTAAAAGAAAGGCTGCCCTACATAATCATACAATCTAAAGCTATATTATGATTGAAGTCATCCACCTAAAAAAACCCCACTTTTTAATTAGTTAGATGCAAATTAGGTCAAAAAATGTTTCAGCCTTCAAACTAGCTCTTAAGAATTACTACCAAAACATGTAAAAATATGCCAGAAAAAGAAAGAGAAAACCCTGAGAACCACATGCCATAAAAATTACCTTCATGCTCTCCATTTCTGTCAGCTCAATTTGAAGAGCCAGCATCTCTGAAGACATGCTTTCCTGCACACGTTCAGACATTACACGTAGTTCCTCCGATTTACAAGAGAGGAGTTCCTTCTGATGATCTACCTGGTGCTTCAGCTGCTTTTCACTAAGCCTAGCTTCATCTAATTCCACTTTCAGTTTTTCTATCTAAAGCCAAATTAAAAAAAAGTCATAAATTGAAAGTTATTTTCTCTCTAAAAAAACATCACTGATTGAACCAAACTTACTGAATGATGACATTATTGCAGTTTCCTATTTGCCCAAGATTAGGCATCTTTTAACAGATAGTGACACACCTTGTTTAATAAACATAGAAACAATCCATGAGTAATCAGGGTGGGTCTGGATGCCTCAGAAGCAATCTGGAGGCACTGTGATGCTGACCACTTGGCTACTGTGTGAATAATGAGTGGCATGAAGAGAAACAATGGAAGCAAGCAACCTGGTCAGAAGGCTACAGCAGTAGTCTAGGGAAGAGATGATGAAGGTCTGGATTGGAGTGGCAGTAGCATCATAGGTGTTTTGTAGGTCAAGTTCTTAGAACTTGAATTAATGTGAGAAATAAGAGAAGAAAAGGTATTGAAAAGAACTCCAAATTTTGGCACAAGTGATTTGAGAATATCAGTAAAACAAAATATTTCACAAATTTACTCTTTGCTTCACCAAAAAAAAATAAAAGCCATCTCTATAATAATTAGCCTTACCTCAGTTGCTGAATACTCCCTATATTACTCTCTTGTTTAGGTAATGAAAGCTATTGCAAAAATAAAAATAACAATCAGAGGGGGGAAAAAGCACATCATTATCAGTCATTAGGGCCTCAAATCCGACTAGTTTCAGACAAGCTGGATGATATTACCTGTCAGAGTGGTATGCAAGATGATTATATATTACACAAAGGCATATTCAGATAGCCATGTTTGTTTTAGTGTATAGTAGGAAAAAATAACCAAGCTTAAATATGTAATTTCGGCCAAGCATGGTGACTCAGGCCTGTAATGCCAGCACTTTGGGAGGCCGAAGGGGGCGGATCATGAGGTCAGGAGTTTGAGACCAGCCTCACCAACATGGTGAAACCTCGTCTCTACTAAAAATACAAAAATTAGTCGGGCGTGGTGGCGCACACCTGTAACCTCAGCTACTTAGGAGCCTGAGGTAGCAGAATCGCTTGAACCCTGGAGATGGAGGTTGCAGCGAGCTGAGATCAGGCCACTGCACTCCAGCCTGGGTGACAGGGTGAGACTCCGTCTCAAAAAAAAAAGAAAAAAAAAGTAATTTCATTGATGTTTCTTAAAATCAGTAAACATTTAAAGAGAGTCAATGAGAAATTAAGTAATAGTATAGGTGGTATACAGAAAAAGAAAAATCTTAGAAGCTGCTATACAAAAAGCTGAAAATTGGATAACAGACTTCTGAGAAAGGAGGACAAAAGTCAGGCAAGTTTTGGTAGAGAGGTGTCTGGAAAAGTCAGAGTATAGACTATACACAAAGCAGATCCATGATAAAAAGTTCTGGATTCCTTAGAAGCAACCTGAAAGCACTGGGTAGCTGGAAAAAGGGAAAACCACTGACCAATCATTTATCTTGCTTTTATGTTTGAAATGGAGCCAGTGTTACATGTTGGTAGACTACATAGAGTGATTCAGTAACACGGCCTTTGGAGTCAGACAGCCTTAGTTCAAACGTAGATGGAGATTTCTAGCTCTTGAATTATGTCCAATTTACTCAGTCTGTCTAAACACTGGCTCTCTCATCTGGTATATGGAGATAATAATGGTACCTTCCCACAGAATTATTTTAAGAACTGGATCGCATGTATTAGTTTATCTTCAGTAAACAAACTACAAAGTGTCTTCTGTAATGCATATTAACTAGTAAGAAACTACTGGTCTGTGTTACAGAATTACAAAGCATACCACTGACTGCAGGGAAGGCTAGGAGACCAGGCTTTCTGCAAGGGGACTGCTGTACTCACTATCAGCAAGGAGGCCATGCTAGTCACTAAACTAAACCTTCACAAATATCCAGCAACCAAAATTAAATAACTGTATTTAATTAGTAGGATATAATTTATACAAGTCCCTTAGACAAACTCTTGCATCTCAGTGTTCCCACCCCCAATATTAAGATAATGAAGACTTAGATCTTAGCTATTTTGCAAAGCTGACACTTAAGAAAATCTTTATCATCTAAAGTTTACAGATGGTTGCATAAATATGTAATATTTTGCACTGAAATACACAGATATCCCAACCTTCGATTTTAGTTCATTCACTTCCTGTCCATGGCTTCTGCTTAGTTGTTCTTCCAATTTCTCCAGGTGCATTTTTTGTTGTTGTTTAATAGCTTCACATTCACAGCTCAAACTTTCTAACATTCGGCTCTTGAGTTCAACTTCTCTTTGAAGGGTATATTTTTCTTGTTCATAACTCTGAAAACAGATTCAATTACAATTCAATTACATAAAAATAGCCTAAAGCCATTACATATAATCAGTTTTCAACTTAAATTGTTTCATTCTTATTTCAAGCATTTGCTGCTTTCCAAATAACGAGGACATGTTAAACCTGGAATAACCTTGGAGTTAATCAGTCTTACTAAACCCCTGAGGTGTATTTCCAGACTATGGTAAACCCATGCAAGGGACAGCTTACTGCTTCTGTGCCCTGTCGAGGAAGTAAAATGTGCTGCATGGTATGTCAACATGTCAAGTAATCTCTGCTAACAACAAAAAAACATTTAACAGCACTTCAGCTTTCCTCATGAGAATTATTAGTTTGATAATGAGATGCTCTGCTTGTAGCTCTGAACACAATGTAGTAGTAGTAAAATAGTTGAAAAAAATACTCGATTAGCCTTTACTTTCAGAATGTAGTCATCTGAGAAATGTTCACAAAATGTCTATCAGAATGAATGCAGTGCTGAGACAAAAGGAGTAATTAAAAGGGCTTTCGCTTACTCACAGGGAAGTTTAGACATTAAAAACATTACAAGTATGAACTCTTTCAACAAGCTTTAAAAAATGATAAAATATTCCCCTCCAAACCCTTTTTATTTTAAAGGAAGGCAAAGAGTATTAACTGCTAAACACTGAAATTTGACAAATTATAACTCAAAATGATTAAGTATAACAGTTTTATTTTCTACTACTAGTGATATTTGTAATCTTCACCTTGCCTTTAAGACTTGGCACTGAGTTCTTGCTTTACAACAGTACTATGTAGAAACACAAAGGTTGCCATCACTAGTTATTTTTACCTGTTACAGATATTTTTTACCTGCCATATTTACAATGTTGAGATTCAAGTTTAAATATGTTACTGAGCATTTGCTAAATTACCCAGATTTATTTATTCATTCTTTTAAGAAATAATTGTGTGGCAGGCATTGAGGATACAGTAGTGAACAAGGCATACAAAATTCCCTCTCTCATGGAGTTTATAATCTAGAGATAATTAGCAATGCAGATAATTAAGAGTGAATGAGGGCTGGGCACAGTGACTCATGCCTGTAATCCCAGCACTTCGGCAGGCCGAGGCGGGCAGATTACTTGAAGCCAGGAGTTCAAGATCAGCCTGGCCAACACGGTGAAACTCTGTCTCTACTAAAAATACAAAAATTAGCTGGGTGTGGTGGCACACACCTGTAATCCCAGCCACTTGGGAGGCTGAGGCAGGAGAATCTCTTGAACCCAGGAGGGGGAGGATGCGGTGAGCCAAGATTGCGCCACTGCATTCCAGCCTGGGCGACAGAGCAAGACCCTGTCTCAAAAAAGAAAAAAAAAAGAGTGAATCAGGGTAACTTTACATTACATAGTAAGGGTTGGCCTCTCTGCTGAGGTGACATTTAACTGAAAGCTGAAGTTTGAGGACTCAACCCAAGAGCAATGAGGGGTAAACAACTCAAAAAAAAGGCAATAGCTGGCGTAAAGCCCATAAGGGAGGACTAGTATAGTCAAAAATAAGGCAAAGCAGTTTGAGATGTCAGAAGGTTGGCAGGGGTCAGATCACATAGGGATCTACAAACCCAAGGAAAGAGCTCAGATTTTGTTGTAAATGCAATCAGAAGCTGTTGTATGGTTTTTAGCAGGACTGTGGCATGACCTTTGGTGTATTTTCCACAACCACTTGGACACTAAGTGAAGAACGAATGGCATGAATGGCAACAATGGAAGCAGGCAACCTGGCCAGAAGGCTACAGTACTTGTCTAGGAGCAATGATGGTGATCTGGACTACAGTGCCAGTAGCAAAGATACATGCTTTGTAGTCCAGTTCTTAGAACTTATTAATTAATGAAATGTGAGAAATAAAGGGAAGATATTGACTAAAAGTTCTAGATTTTTGGTAAAGAAACCAAAACTATATATAAATCTTTATATACCAAAGATTTTTGGTGTTCAAGAAACTGAATGCTATTACGTTTACTAAATAAGCTAAAGAAAATCATAAAAGAATATTTGGGTAATGGACAGGGAATCTACTCTTCTGTGTTAAGTGTGAGAAGTCCATTAGTGGGCAGTTGAACACATAAACCTAGACTTTAGAGGAGAACTAAGGGCTTGGTGTAGTGTCATGGGGCACTTAGATGTTTAGAGGTCTGAAACAAGCAAGGCCATCTAGGAAGTGTGCAGACAAAGCAAAATCGGGTAGCAAATTGGCAAAGAGAGTAATGATAACTTTAATGATAACTTGATCTTTCAAACTCTGAATACACTAGGTTGGAAAGAATAATAGGAATTCATTTAGTTCATTCTTTTTTAACAGAGATGGGGCAGGGTGGGAACTAGATCTAAAATCTTCAGAAAAGAATAAACTACTACTACTATTAATTGCTAAACAGGACAAATCTTCAATAGCTAAGCACACTCTTGCAGACAGAGGAGTCCAGAGTCCTACCTCAGTCATGGTCATCATTTCATTACGACATTTATCCAATTGATTCTGTAATTCATTTTGACTCTCCACAAGTTGTAAACCATACTGTGCAGCTTTTAGTCGCTCTTCTTCAGCCTCTTTGAGCTTGCATCGAAGATTTATGACTATATCTGTCTCCATGTTCTTTTCCTTTTTTTAGCCACCTGTAAATAGAGGAAATAAAACTACTTAAGCTTATACAAAAAACTCCATGCAATAATATCAATCATAGAAGAAATATATCTACTAAATTCTACTGCTGTATAAAAACATTACAATTTTCTTTCTGACTAGTAAGTAGTCAAATTTGCATTCTTGTTCCATCAGCAAGAACTGTTCTAACTATTCTGTTACTGATTTGGTATCAAAAATTAAAGAGTGGAATAGAATACATTTAATTTTGCTTCTAAGCAGTTCAACATCAGAAAACTGTTCAGTTGTTGTACGCTAAACTTCCTTAAATGTTAAGGTCAAGTTGGTCTCATAATTGGACCGCTATCCATATAATCAAAATTAAGGGAATAACAAAAAAAGTAATCAAGAAACCTCATAGTAGCAGGTATGGTGGCTCATGCTTGTAATCCCAGCAGCTGGGGAGGATTGCTTGAGGCCAGGAATTTGAGACCAGCCTGAGCAACACAGCAAGACTCCATCTCAATCAATCAATCAATAGAAATAAGGTGGGGATAGTGCATGCCCCTGTGGTCTCAGCTACTTGGGAGGCTAAGGAGGGAAAACTGATGGAGTTACAGGCTTCAGTGAGTTATGATCATGCCAATGACAGAGCAAGACACTGTCTTGAAAAATAATAATAACAATAATACCGCCAGAAAAGGAAGGTCTGGGTACTATAAATAAATATAAAAAGGCAGCTGTGAATAAGGCTCATAAGGTAAAGTAAGGAATATCATGTCTGTAATTTTTCACAACAGTGTTAACTTCCTGTATATATTAAATCTGCTTTCTTGGAAAGAGATTCACTAGTATTTTTCTAGTTATTCATAAAAGTATGCAAAAATAGAAACCATATGGACAAGAATTAGAGGATGTTGCTTTCATTCCAGATTTATGAACAAACACTTAAACATTATATATAGAAACATTCCACTTTAATCAACCTTACTAATTATCCTTTACTATTTGGTCCCAGCCTCTTAAGCAAGACTCAAACTCACCTTTGCCTTCAAAGGGCACCAAGCCATTACAAATGTTCCCCCATGTTTCAAGTCAATTTAGTCATTCGCTGAACAAGTATTTCTTGAATGCCTCATATACTAGGTTCCACTCTGGGCAGTTCAGATTCATCAGGGAACAAAATGGACCAAAAATAAGCTCCTCCTTCATGCAACTTACATTTCAGGAGGGGAAGATAAACAATAAGTCATAGAATATTAATAAATTAGAAAGGAGAGATGAGAAAAAAATAGAACAGAATAAGAATCTGGGAAGAAGAGACAGGTGATGTAACTAGGAGGTGGAAGATGAGCGAATCAGCCATGCAGCTGTTTAGGAGAAGAATGTTCCAGCAAGAGGGGAATCTCTAAGGCAGGAAGAAGCCCAGGGAGTGAAATCTAAATTTGGGTAAGAGATAGTAGGGAGTGGGTAAATCAGGTCATCATAAGGACTTTGGCTCCTACTCTGGGTGACACGGGAAGTCATTCCAAAGTCTGGAGTAGAGGATCTGATATAATTTAAAAGGATCATTCTGGCTGCTATGTTGACTAGTTAGAAGGGGAACAAGGCTGGAAGCAGAGACCATGTGAAATGGCTCAGACTAGGGTGGTAGCATAGGAGGCTGTTAAGAAATGGCCAGATTGTGAAGGTTTTGAAGGTAGGGCCAGTATGATTTTCTGAAAGATAATGTGGAATGTGTGAAAAAGGGAAAAGTAAAAAATGCCTCCAAGCCTTCTGGCCTGAGCACCTTGTAAAACGGAACTGCCATCAGCTGAAGCACTGATGTAAATCATGTTTTGGAAAGAAAATCAGGAATTCAAGTTCTGAACATGAACTACATCAAGTAGGCAACTGGATATATGATAAGAGGAATCTTGGCTGGAGATGTAAATTTGAGAGTTATCAGTCTGTAGAGGATAAAAATATTTAAAGAAAAATGGACCAAGGATTGAACCCTGTTAGGAGGTAGGGAAGAAGACAGCGGAGAATCATGAGTGACCAGTGAGGTAGAAGGAAAACCAGGAGTATGTGTTGTCCTAGAAGGCAATAAACAGTGTATTAAGGAGGTGGGAGTAATCAATCATGTCAGATGCTGCTGCTAAGGCAATTAAGGTGAGAACAGAGAACTGGCCATTGAATTTGAATTCCTGGAGGTCTCTGGTGACAAGAATAGTTTTGATATACAGGTGGGGGTGAAAGCCTAACTAGAATGTCTTTGAGAGAAAATGGTAGGAGATAAATAAAGATAGCAAGCACAGGTTGGCCGCAAAGGACAATGGATAAATGGAGCAGCAGTTGGAGAGGAAGTAGGGACGAGTTTTTTGTTTATTTTTAAGATGCAAAAAAATAACAGTGTTTGTAGGCCATGGGATAAATCCAGGGGAGAAGAAAAACTGATGATCTAGAAGACACTGGAGAATTGCTAGTGATGTCCCTGAATAAACAGGATGAGGTTTAATGTAGAGACTGGTTTTAATAGAAGCATGGATATTTCATTTAAAGAAAGCAAAGTATATCAGTTCAGATACTGATATGCAGGTATAGTGGTGGAAGTGTGTGCAAGTAACCTTTTAACTGCTTCAATTTATCAATGAATTAGGAAGCAAGGTCTTTAACTGAGAATGAAGACAAGGGAAGAGATACAGGGTTTTAAGAGAGAAAAAAAGGTGTTCTAGGTAATCTCAGTTTGGCAGTCACTGCTCTAAAATGCAAGACCTTTTCAAAATCTGTACATAATAGGGCCAGCCAACTAAATGTTGTACTGTTTACAATAACTTACATTTGTTGAGGATTTACCATTTGCCATGCTAAATGCTTCAAATATATTATCTCATCTAATTCTCTTGATAAGCCTGAGTTAAGTAAATACTGTCATCTCAACCACCAAAATAAAAATAGGGTTAACCTCAAGACATTGCAGCCAGGCATTACCTAGAGAAGCCAAAAAAAATTTGCTCTCATTTATTCAAAAGATTTGCTGGAATTCTTACTGTGTCAGACATTGTGCTAGTGCTGACAACACAACGGTAACCCAAAACAATATTCCTGTCTTCTTGAATCCTGCAGTCTATTAGTAAAAGACATTAAATCAAGTAATTGAACTATCAAGTTACAAGTATGATAAGCGCAAGAGAGAGAGAGATGTATGCTACCTGGGCGCGTAACAAGGGGGAGCTGTCCTAATCTGGGGGGCAGCGTGTAGAAGGGAACATGGACCAAAAAAAAAAAAAATTTCCTGAGGAGGTAACTTTTCAGCAGAAATCTAATGGATGAGAAAGAGTTAACCTATCAATCTACAAAGAGAGAGAGCCGTGGTTGATTAAAAGCTACAGCTAATGTGTGGCAGACATTGTGCTTGGTGCTTTATACATTCTTATTCAATCTTCTCAACAAATTCTAGAGGTTGAAGGTATTTCCCTCATTTTATAAATGCAAGCTGAGGCACAGAAAGTTTAGGTAACTTGCTTAGGGTTACCCGCAAGTTAAGAGGCGAAGTGAGATGGGAACTAGACTCTACCTACAAACCCCGGTGCTGCAACCATTTTTCTGTCCTGCTTCTCAAAAATACAGCACACACTAAGTATTTAGGAGATAGGAAACTCTGGGAATCAAACTGCCTGAGTTCCAACCCCGCCTCCACTACTCACTGGCTGCACGAACGTTGACAAGTTATTTAATGTCTTGTTTAATCATCTATAAAAACAAGCAAAATTAACACCCACCTAATCGGTTATTGAAAGGATTAAATGAGATAACGAAGGAAAAGCAATTAGGGTAGAATCTGACACACGGCTGGGGCAGTGCTGTCCAGCAGAAATATAACGCGAGCCATGTACGTGATTTTAAATGTTCTAGGAGCCATCAGGTTTTAAAAAGTAAACACAGATGAAAAATTAATTGACATATTTAACCAAATACACTCAAAACACTATCATTTCAACATGTAATCATTATAAAAATTATTAGTGAGATATTACTCTTTGTGCGCTCTCTCTGAAATCCAGTGTGTATCTCCCATCAGCACATTTCTCAGTTCGGACTAGAGGCTACCGTACCGCACAGCGCAGATCCAGTGGCGGTTATCGTTTTGAGTACCCGGCAACCGACCCGGCCTTCCATATTTGAGCAGAATCCAGGGCGGCGAGGCGGTCCAACGGAAGATTAGACCGGCTCGGAACCCAGTGTGTAGGACCCCAGGGTTCCGGGGAAGGAGGTGTTTCAGCTAAAGGCCTCGGCCAAGACCCCGGGCCCCTAGCTTTCTTCAGGGCCTATTCGACTGTCCCCACTACCGCTCTCCACACCCACCATCCACCAGGCCCCTTGCCCCTACCTCTCACGCCTGTCCCCTGCTGCCGCAGCCAGCGGCTCTTAATGGGAGCTCAGGGCGTCCACATTCATTCAGGACGCTAACTCCACAGTCGCTGGCCCATTCACTCAGCTAGTTCTCGGGTAAGCGCCAGGGCTTTTTGAATGCAGTTCCCGCGAGAAGTCCCACGTCTCACGAGATGTCCGCCCAAGCCGCGCGTAAAGGAAAAACTAAGAGAAACGCCCAATGCAGCGTCCCGCGCCCTCCTACAGCTACTGGCGCGCCGTGGGCTTGGCGCAGGCGCAGACGTGGCTCCTTAACTTACAAATTGTACCTTGGGCTGGTTTCATGTATGTCTTCTAAGTATCCGCTTTTAGTTTCCGTGTTTTGGTATTTTGTTTGCTGGTTTTTTTTTTTTTTTAACGACAGTGCCTTCTAGGGGAACAGTGTCGCTGGGCTGGACGGTAGAGAATCACCTTTGGCACCATCGTGCGATCTCATGCACCCTACCAGTGGTAATACTGGCGTTAACATTTGAGTTCCCACCATGTGCTAAAGTTTACAGATTATCTCAGTTAAGCCCGCAGCCTTATGAGGTAGATATTACTCCTCATTTTTTGCAGAGAAAAACAAAGGCTGAAGAGAAAAAGTGCCTTGTCCGAGTGGTAGAACTAGAATTGAATGCAGTCCAAGCTGTTTGCATGTGTTTTTAATAATAATGTTTTGTAAACTTGATGCCTATTATTCAAAAATTGAAGCAATCAGAAATAATAATAGCTAACATTTAGTGAGCACTGATGAGTCCTAGTAACTGTTATAGGAATCATGTCGTTCTTTTGAGCCCATCTTTTCTTGCCTATTTGAGGACTTGGCTCTAACTGCTCTTTTTGGCAGCTTCAGTTTTTTCTTCTCTATTGGATCTTCCCTATCAGCTCATAAACTTCATGCAATGATTGCCATAAAATCATTTCATGATTTCATTTTTTAAAATAATCCTTCTTGACCCCGATCAGCAACCACCAGATTTGTTTTCTTTCCTTTATAACAAAATTTCTGGGGGAAAAAAAATCTTTACATCCATTATCTCCATTTTCTTACCTTTTGTTCTTTTGTTTGTTTTTCCCACTTTAACCAGGATTTGGTCCCAACCAATACTGTGAAGTAGCTCTTGTTAGGTTTACCAGTGATTCCTACCTTGCAAAATTCGGCAGTCAATATTTAGTCCTCAATTCTGGTGAAATTTGACAAGAGTTGCTTGCTCTCGTTGATATGAGTCTTTATGTATTGGGATGCCACACTCTCCTTGCCCTCCTCTTCTCAGTTTCCTTTGCAGACTACAATTTCTGCCTGAGCTAAGCCAGACTGAAAGGGTTGATCTGAGCTTTAAGATTGGCAACAAATTGCTCAGAGTGTAGTCTCACAGATGGATCTGGGGCTCTAATGAACCAGACGCTCATTCATTTGTAATCACGCCTATGTTCTTGGATAAATGAAACAAATTCCATTTTCCCTGTCGTTTAACAAAGATTCCTTAACTCGGGAGCCAGGAAAAGATTGTTCTAGCTTAGGCCAGTCATGACTGGCTGCAATTAGGTAATCTAAAATCGATCTGAACTTATTTTTTCTCCTTTGTAACAAGAGAAGGTATACCCCATATTATTAATGTTTCTTCCTATCCTATTTTAAAAATATATATTTTAAACTATTAATAAGTCACCGCAATGTGTTAGGCATAGTGGAGGAATTCAGAGATGTGGTAAACTCGACTATTGCCTAAAAGATGCTCGCAATATAGTAGGAGATTTTAAAAAACAAATAGAACTTACAGGGCTGTAAATGCTATACAAGTGGTATGTGCCCCACACTAAAAGAGTTGTGTGAAGGTAGAGGTATATTTTGTCTGAATGTTCCTTTAAAACTTCCCAGTGCATGTGACACTTCAAGCAGGGCCTTGAAGGATGGCAGAGCTAAGGAGGGGTGCATTCTAGGAGAGGGGACAGCATTAGCAAAGGCACAGAGGCTACCCATGTCATAATTAAGGTCATTCTTTAGGGATGGCCTGAATACAAGGCTGCCAATACCACCACTGGACGCTAGATGTCACAAGTGAAATGAATTCTAGATGGGTTCTCCTTATAAGATAACTTACATGGAACTTCTGATTCACAGTACCAGATGCAGATCTCTGTACTCAGGCAAGGTCCGCATACTATGGCCTAAATACCAAAGGTCAGGAAAAAGCAAAAAACAGCAACCTTGTATCCGTTATTTTCCATTGACAAAAGGAGAGATGGGACTTGGCCTCTTCACACGGTAGTGGATTCACCAAGCATAGGATGGGAGTTTCGATTCTGGGAAACAACACCCCCCTTCCAATTTTGTGCCCCTCAGTTACAATTCCTAGTACTATAGCTGTCCAGAACTGGGATAGACTCCTGTAGTGAACTTGTCATCATTTCCTTGTGACTGTTCCAGAAGAAACAAGAGGATTAGACTGTTACATGGTATTGAAATCTACATATATTTTGACAGGAACTTATTGAATGATCATTTGTTTTGGGCACTACAGATGAATAGTCTCTGTATTAAACGAACTTAGAGTTTAGTGGAAGAGACATTTACCAAACAGTAAACAGTAAATCCTTACTTAGAGGATGACTTAGGCTTTCTTGTTCCTTCACATTATTAAGTAGAGCTGCAAGCTAGTCTTCGCTGGGATCAAGCAAAAACAAGCTCAGGACTCTGAGACACAGAGTCTGCAAATAAGAATGAGATTAAGCTGTAGAGCTCTGTGATTTATAGTATGGTCTGGAATATGAAGTTATGAGAGTTACACTAAAGGTTGTGGTCACTGAAACTTGGGGGATGGCTGAGATGAAGAAAAAAAGCTTCGAGAGAGAACAGAGGGGTGTGTGCAGGACTTTTGAGATTGTCCTAATCCATGGCACAGGAGGAGAATAAGGATCCACAAGAAAAACACGAGCCATATGAGAAGAGATCAGGAAATTAAATTGTCACAACTTCTACTGTGATAACTAGATATCGAATGAATCATTGTACCAGGCAGGTGGATTTGACTGTTTAATAGTAATAATAATAATGAAACCCAGTCTGCGATCTCTCCTGTACTAACAATGTCTAGCACCAGCTTGAACTCTGAGTGAGCCTTATTGCTGTACTATTTTTTCTTTAAATAGGGGAAATCTTCTCTCAGAGAAAGGGTGCACCATCCCAATACAGTAGACATTTATCAGCTAACATCCTAGCATGAATTTCTTCCTCCTATTCCCACCAAGAGAATTCTGATGATTCTTTCGTGTAATTCCTATTTTCTCAATTTTCAGCCATATGAATTCTTTAAAATTGATGCTACCTTTCATCTCTAGGATAGCCCATCACCCTGGTTACAGTAATTGGTTCGAAGATGTGCATGTGATGGAATCTAAGCCAAAGAGATTTTCCACTGGGACGGCTAGATAAATGGATTTTGTTAACTGCCTCTGTTACAGTCTGAATTGTGTCCTTACCCCCATCGCCACCCTTCCCCCATATTCATATGTTGAAACCCTAATTCCCAATGTGAACTGTATTTGGAGACAGGGCCCTTTAGGTTAAATGAGGCCACGAGGGTGAGGCCTTAATTGATAGCGCTACAGTCCTTACAACAAGAGGAAGAGACATCAGAGATAGATCCCCTTCCTCTTTATCTCTCCCTCTCTTTCCCCCACTACTCCCAAGTGCACACAGCGAGAAGGAGGCTGTCTGCAACCCAGGGAGAGAGACCTCACCAGAAACCAACCTTAGTCTTGGACTCCCAGCCTCCAGAACTGTGAGAAAATGTCTGTTATTTAAGCCACCCAGTCTGTGGTATTTTGTTACAGTTGCCTGAGCAGATTAATACACCCTCTGTACTTAAACTTCATAACCCAGAGCTTCTAGCTGCCAACTTGGGGTTCATGAAAGACAAATCTGCTTGAAAGAGAGGGAACAGAGTGTTCTGGTCATGCCATTTGAGCCCTGTATCAAGCTGTCATGAAGCTAGAGCTATCCCTGGACTGTTCAGTTTTTGCTCCAACCCCAGAGCTTCACTTTGAGTTTTCTGTTTTCTGTTGTTTGCAACATAAAGATTTTTTGTTGTTGTTGTTTGATTGTTTGTTTTTGAGATGGTGTCTTACTCTGTCACCCAAGCTAGAATGCAGTAGTGTGATTTCGGCTCACTACAACTTCTGCCTCCTGGGTTCAAGTGATTCTCCTGCCTCAGCCTCCCAAGTAGCTGGGATTACAAGCGTCCACCACCATGCCTGGCTAATTTTTGTATTTTTAGTAGAGATGGGGTTTCGCCATTTTGGCTAGTCTGGTCTCGAACTCCTGACCTCAACTGATCCGCCTGCCTTGGCCTCCCAAAGTGCTGGAATTACAGGCGTGAACCACTGTGGTCAGCCAACAACGTAAAGGGTTTTAACCAATACACATAGTAATACTTGTGTCTCATCTTGAGTAGAATAACCTGTGACGTTGAACCTGTCAAGTTCCCATTCTACATTTAGGCTAAAATGGAAAGTTGCTAATTTCCAGAGACTGGATCTGGCTTCTTTTAGAAGAAAATGCCTTAGTTGAATGAAAAGAAAGTCTTATCCTAAATAAAGGGGCTTAACGGAGGAAAATAAAGATTCAAACAGCTTACATGGAATCCCTTTCTTCGTTCCACTTCAGACTACCACCACACCACCTCTAAACTAACTTCTTCAGGTGATTTTAGCACCTAAGCCACTTAGAATTAAGACTACATGTTTGTATTAGTTACGGTTTTTACTTGCTAAGAAGTGTACTCACTCTGGTTGGTTTAAGATATACACGTATATTAAAAACGAGAGTCCTAACTTTCGCAGCCATTTAAAAGACTGTAGCTGTTATGTATTCCTCCTCTCTAGCACCCATTACATATCCCGTATATATTTTGATAGTCCCTCAACTACTTGGAGGCTCTTTATCCAGTAAAGCAACCCCAAGCTTCACTCTCCAATAAAACATATTCGTAGCCGTGATTTAGATTACTTACTATTCTGTTGGCCCAAATTTATTTGGCCCAAATCAGAGGGATAGGATAAAACTTGGGGTCTTTTTCTGTCTCTAAGGGCTTGACACTGTGACACCGTACTCTTCTGTTTGTATCTCAATTCAGTTGAAGGAAATGGTTGCTGATCTCATAATGTTTAGGTTAATGTATTTTATTTCTAGGAAAATCCACTTGGGATTGCCCAGTGCACACGGTAGACAT